TATACCAAGGTGGCTGATGAGCCCCGCTCACTTTTGTAGTTATACAGTACCGCACGCACGATACGGGGGGGCTTGCCTATCGCCCCTTCCCTGTCAACGGCGCCTTATGGGCCGAGCGGGAAGGCGACCCGCCCTCACACGTGCGTGCGGTACAGCATAACTACAAAAGTGGGCGGGGTTAATCAGCCACCTGGTACAAAAGCGTGCCTAGGCCTCGCTACCTTATATTTGATGTCGTATTTGTCAAATTTAAACCAGATAAAGCATGAAGCTCTTGCATTCTCTTGGCGACAGTGACTGTGCAGTGCACAATAAGCGCTGCATCACCTGTGTCCTCTTTCTCTCCTCTCACTCTCATTTTCCTACCCGCTTGCTCTCCGTGCCCCTTCACCCCCTCTACATTATTTACATAGGTACTACGATGGATCGAAAACCCCCATCTGGTGAGGGGGGGGGGCTGTCCTGACCGTGAAATGAGTAGACAAACAGCTGGGTTTGTTCAATGATAAGGGAAAGAGGGGTTTGCGGGTGGAGGGCTCGTGGGTAAACCTGCCACCATTAGACAAGAGAGGCGTAAAAAAACAAGCATACTAGACGTCTTAAAGGAATGAGAAATGTGCCAAGTAGTCCCACAGCAAATATATTTCGGGGAAGTTCCCGGTTGAATCCGGGAAGTAATTTTCCTGATGCTATTTTTCGTCATATCTATGCATGTTATAACATTTGGAGCAACCGGAAAATGTACTTCCCGAATCCAACCGGGAAGTTCCCGGAAAAATGTTTGCTGTGGTCCTTCTTCATTGCTTTCCCACAAAATAGCTGTGGCGCTCGGTTCGAGACACGTTGTATTTTGAACAGCAGGCGGGACCGGTTTATGCAGATGCACACGAGGCCAAAACGCATACTATCTTTTGCCTGTCCTCGATCTTTCAGGGAAGTCCTTAAGACATTCCATGTGTGGCAGCTCCATTTTTAATTTTTTTTTTTCAAACCGGCCGTTTCCAACTTTTGGGAGTGACGGGTGACGGGGTGCCTCTACTCCAGGACCCCGCCCAGGCTCTGGTCACTCGCACGGCGCCGGTAGGTCAGGGTCCCGCGCCCCACCCGCCCCGGCCCGCTCGAGCCGCGCGCCACGCGTCGAGCCACGCACAGTTCATCTTATATAACGCCCTGCTGCTGCTCCTGCCGCCGACTCCGACGAATTCCTCCTGGAGCGGGTCGTGACCGCGAACCTCGAGGGCGTCGGGAGTCTACTACGCGCCGAGGAGATTTTACTAGCGCGACCATTATCCACTTGAATTACAAAGGACTTGAGCACCTTTTGTAGGGATCTTCATGATTGTGTGGCGTCTTTTCAGAGACAGTAAAGCATTTAGGACCCTCATAAAAGAACTGCAATAATCTCTAGTTGTACGAAATTTAGGGTTTCCGACAAGGCGCGGTAGGGTGATAAAATTCATCACCACGCCGAAAAATAGCACCTCGCAGCACTTTTATGCCTAAGTGTTTCCCTCTGGTGCTAGAAATGTATGACCCAGGGCCGACCTGCGGCATCTAGGCCTCTTCCCGGGTCGTCAGCAGAGGTCGGATGTGAAATGGGAGAGAAAATCATGAGCGTTTCCCTCGTTAGGCGGGTCAGTCGTCGGGCGGAAACCAAGTCCGCGCGGATTAGTGTGACCACTTGCGCCCAATTGCCTCCGAGGACAAGAGGAGGCGCGGCGCGGAGGGGCGGGCCGGGCCGGGCCGGCGGGCCGGGCCGGGCCGGGGCGGCTCCTGCTTTTCAGCAAGGAGACGTGAGGGAAGGACTACATTACATTAACCTAGTGGTCTAATTACAATCCTACCTTCATGAGCTGGCCATCCATTGTTTTTCCCCGTCATTATGCAACTCCCTGCCCTGGTCTAGCGTGCGTCGCAGCGTTGAGCTGGGTCCGTCAAGCGGACGGCTATCCGTGTCAAACTGTCTTACTGACTTAGGCCTCTGCCTTGTTCCAGGTCTTCCAGCGCCATGGCCCCTCCAGGAAAGAAACTCCCCCAATACACGGCAGCTATAATTGGTGAGTTTTACCCCGTGTTGTGGAGCACAGGTACTTTAATGTTTGAAGCGCTTGAAGGCGTGATCGACTCTATAATCATCGTTTCTTCGGAGTTCTATGAAAACACAATAGCCACTTGTAATTCGGCTGTTCCAAGGCCAGATGTTAGCAAAACGTCTCCTCCTGTATGCCCTCTGGTCTCTGGTAGCCCCTCGTCCCGGAAACACTCCACCACCCTCGCCTCGTTTCAGATGTTTCGTAACCATTGATGTCGACCCGGGAGCCCACTCGAAAATCTAGACGACAGGACTCCCAAACAAAACCGTTGCCATTAATTTGTTGTTGTTGTAGGACTAGCGAGCGGCGCGCGGGGCGAGCTTCGCCTGACGCGCGAATGTGTTGCGAAACACGCCGCGGGTCCGTTCGGTTCGAATGCCTCCGGAGGCCGCGCTGAGAGACTAATGAACGCTGACCGCATATCAGTGGAGCCGGTGGAGCGGACTGTGCCGCGTACCGGCAGGCAGGGGCAAAGGTGCCTGACTGCTGACCGGCACGCTGACCGGTGACTTGCGGGTGGCCGCGACGGCCAAGTGTAGCCGGGCCTCGCGTGCCGCGTGTCCGCGGGGTCGTAGAGAAACGAGCATCCCTCTAGCAGACTGACTGCACCTCAACGACCCACTGACCGGCGCGCTGACAGCTGGCCGCGTCGCGGTGACTGACCGTACTAGTGTAGTCGGGCCTCGCGTGCCCGTGGGGTCATAGAAGCAGCCTTGCCTCTTTTTATTCTGTCTGGTCCGTATCACCCGCATGGGTACCCGCAGCTCGCACACCTCGCTTCACGTGAGACGGACATGTACCATCCGGGACAGCCCGTTCGCCCCCGGGCCGCCACTTTTCTGGCAAGACGCAGGGGTCCTGGGTCCTGATCAAGAACAGGTTCGCATCAAACTTGAGAGCCCCAGATAGTACTGGAGGGTACCGGAGAGTACCGACCCGGGGTGTACTATGGACCCGAAGCTGTGTGACACTCTGCAAAATATACTGCAGAGGACACGCGAGCCGGGGTCTGCTCTGCTCGACCGGGGCTCCACATAGGGGCGCCGGGAGGGTAGGCAACCAATTCGACGCGATGCACGACTGACGGCCGCTGTCTCTCTTGCCTGCCCCGCAGCCTCTATGTCCGTGATGGCGGCGGGCTGCTGCATCGCCTGGCCTTCCCCCGCGCTCAAGATGCTGCTGCACTCGGAGGAGCCGCCCTTCGAGCTGAGCCCGGCCGAGGGCTCGTGGATCGTGTCGCTCAAGAACGTGGGCAACATCATCGCGCCGCTGCCGACCGGCTGGCTCATGGGCCGCCTGGGCCGGAGGGCCACGCTGCTCGCTTCGGCGCTGCCCTTCGTCGTGTCCTGGGCGCTCGTGGTCGTCTTCGACACTGCGCCGCTGCTGTACCTGGCGCGAGTGCTGGGCGGGCTGGGCGTGGGCATGGCGTTCACCGTCACGCCCATCTACCTGGGCGAGATCGCGGACACGGAGGTGCGCGGCGCGCTGGGCACGCTGCTGCAGGCCATGCTCTACTGCGGCATCCTCATGGAGTACGTCGTGGGGCCGTACGTCAGCTACCTGACGCTGGCGCTCACCTCGGGCGCCGTCCCCGTCCTCTTCTTCGTGCTCTTCTTCTTCATGCCCGAGTCGCCGCACTGGCTGCTGCAGCGCGGCCGCCGCGAGGAGGCCCGCAAGGCCCTGGGCTGGCTGCGGGGCACGGGCGAGCAGGCCGTGGCCGCCGAGCTGGGCGAGATGACCCGCACCCTGGAGATGCAGCTGCAGCCGCAGGAGAAGGGCGGCGTCGCGGCCCCGGGCTCCCTCAAGGACATCATCTTCAGCAAGGGGCCCAGGAAGGCCCTCATCATCATCCTTACCCTGAATGTGAGTACAAGAGGCAGAGCGTTGAACATTTTCGTCCCCCTATCCCTACTGACACCTTAACGCCGTAGGTCCTGAAAGAGATGTCCGGCAACTCGGCCGTGGTGGCGTACGCCGCGACCACACTCACGGAGGGCACGGGGTCGCCCTACGCCGACGAGTACGTGATCGCCATCGGCGTGGTCATGTTCGCGTCCACCATGGCGTGCACGCAGCTCGTGGACCGCGCGGGGCGGAGGCCGCTGCTGCTCGCGTCGTGTGCGTTCTCCGCAGTCTGCCTATCGACGGCGGGGCTCTTCTTCTTCCTGAAGGCCCTGGGCCTGGACATGTCCGGGGCCACCTGGCTGCCCGTCGGCGGGCTGCTGGCCTACGCCGCGGTCTTCCCCCTGGGCCTCGCGCCCATCCCGCCCACCCTGCTGGGTGAGCTCTTCCCCGCTCACCTCAAGGGCCTGGCGGCGTGCTCGGCAGCCGTGTCCATCTCCGTCACCTCCCTCGTCGTCACCAAGCTGTACCAGGTAAAGGTCGAGGAGTGCGCGGGATGCCCTCGGGCGGCATAAAGCGGACAAAAATTTTGATTCAATTGTTTCTTTCTGCATGCCACAGGTCGTCGGTCATCTCCTGGGCATGCACGTGGTCTACTGGGCTTTCGCCGCGTCATGCGTGGGCGGAGCCGCCTTCGTCGCCACCTTCGTGCCGGAGACGAAGCGCAAGACGTTCCAGCAGATCCAGGACGAGTTGAGCGGCGTCGTGCGCGCGAAGGGCGCCTACGAGGCGGACGAGCCGCTCAAGCTTATGGCGTAAATGGTCATCAGCGTGGGTCAACTGGTCGAGTGGGAAATCAATCGAACCTCAATGCCAATTTGACGTTATATCACCCTGCTTTCGTCCCGAAAATTTCGATGAACGACGTACTTTTGATGTTGAATTTCTCACGGGGAAGGAAAGAAACGTCGTGTTAGGACGTCCACGACGTTCAGTAAACAAGACTGATGAACGAAGCATAGTTTTAACAGCCGTTTACCTAGTACTTAAGGGGCTCACGAGTGATTCCCAGTAGATTTAATTTCACTTTAATTTTAATCAGACTACGGAAATATCTTGGCGCTGTTTCCATTATCTCAAGTCTGATATGGCCATTCGTATTGTGATTTCATCGTGTTAAGTACCTACATGTAAACAGAATTAGGAAAAGTGTATTTATTTTATAAAAGATCTG